TGTTTTGATCTTTATAATAGATTTTTAGATATTTTATATTGTGTGAGTCTTATAATTAATTCTCATTTATAATTATATATGCTTCTACATATATCTCTTAACATTCATATTAGAATGTCATATGATATAAATTGTTTTAACTTGGTTGCATCATAAATTCTTGAATGATTCATATTGTAGCAAGAGATTTTTTCATACACATTGCCAGTGAAATCCCTTAAGTAAAATGAAGTTGAAATCTTAAATATCAAGGCATGTTTTGGTATAATGGGCAAATTTTGATAGAAGCTCCAAAGTTAAGCATTCTCTTGATCATGGAGCACTCCTGGGATGGTTAACTCCTAGAAGTTATACCAATGGGACAAAACCATGTGTTGTTGTTGCGAGATCTAGATATTTCAGTTGATGTGATATATATATATATATAAATCAAACAGAAACAGAAGAATGATCGATGAAGTGAAAAATAGAACGAGAAAAATCACACCAGAAAAGAACAACACAGCTGAACACAAAGATTTACATGGTTCGACAAATGACCTACGTCCACGGAGTTGTAGAGGATTTTACTACTTAAGGAATTTACACCAGTTGATCACCTCGACTTACAAGAGGAATCTCTCACTCTTCATTGCTCTCTCTCTTCTTCTCTCTCTGTTATTCTCTCTCTATACAGAGATACACTGAAGAAAACTATACACCGAGATACACCGAAGAAGACAAACTTACAAGAGAAATAAAGCCAATTTCTCTTCTGCCACAAGTCACAAAAAAGAAGTCTAGGGAAAACAATTTTGTTCTTCTTCCTTCTTCTTCCTTCTGTTGTAAGGAACTGCTCCTCCTGCTCCTCCTTGCACTTCTTGCACTTCTCTTCCTCTTCCCCGAAGAAACCTTCCTCTATCCCAAGGAAACCGAAGAAGAACTCAAAGTGTGACTTCTCTGAAAAAACTAAAGGAGAGTCGTCTAAAGCCTTTTATCACGAATAAGAGGGAGCAAAGAGATGACAAAAAAGAGAAGGCAGGAGTGATTGGCGCCAACGGTTCGCGAATAGGAGCGGTGTCGCGACAACAGGGACTGCGACACTTCGCAATCTGGAGCAGAGCGGGGTTGGGGCCACGACGCGAGCTGAAGCGGGAAATCGGGAAGCGGATCGGGCTCCAGCTCTAACAATCTCTCACTTGAAGACTGATACACCTGCTGCAACATCTCCTTCCTCACACTAACATCCTTCACAGGTGGTGTCGCTCTTTTCTTCAAACATGAATCTTCTAATGTGAATCCTCTACCTTGAATCCTCCACTATGATTCCTCTACCTTGAATCCTCCACCTCTACAACTCAAAGCCTTATCTTCATTCCAGAAGACCAACTGAAGTTGTACACAACTTCAGTTTCTCAAGAGTAACACCCTCAGTTAACATATCAGCAAGCTCCACATAGCTTTGCACCTCCAAGATATTTTCTGGGTCACTCTTGTCTCTTCTTACAACTCCCAATGCATGGTCAACATCATGCCTCTACTGAAAGTCTTTTTCAACAACTCTAGCCTTGTACCTCTTACTGATATCATGTTCAGTCTTCACCTGGTACACCTACTTGTTGTGCAATGCCTTCTTCCCTGGTAGAAGTTCTGTCAGCTCCCACTTGCTCGAACTTTCATCTTGCAAGATTTCTTCATAGCTTTGTGGTTCTTCAACCTCTGTCTGTGGAACAATGGGAATGGGTGCCCTGAACCCACTCTCTTCACTTTCATCACTGCCCTGCACTATGGCCTCTGGTAAATTTCCTACCACATTCAAAGCCCCTGACTCCAATATTAAGTCTTCAACAGAATTATGAACTGCCAACAATAGTGCATCCTGTGATTCTTCAGATACCACATTTGCGCTATCATTCTCCATCTTCTTAGGATTCCCGCAGTTCCTCCTTATGTGGCTAGCATTGCCACAATTCCAACAGGTTGTCTGCTTACTAAACTTTGATTTATTGATCTCCTTATACTTGAGTTTTTTGTCATGTCATCTCCCTCTGAAATTAACATTCAGTATTGAACTCAAATCTGAGATTTCACCAGAATATTTCCTGTGAACCTCCTCAGCCAAAATCAAATCACGAATATCATCGTATTTCAGTTTAGATTTACCTACAAAATTGTTAAATGTTATCCTCGTGGCTTCCCAACTATCTGGCAAAGAAGCCAACAAGATCAGTACACATATCTCATCATAAAAATCAATATCCACAAACGACAATTGATTTGTGATAGTATTAAAAACATTCAGCTGTTGCGCAACAGAAACACCTTCCGCCTTTTTTTAATTAAATAACTTCTTCACCAAGTGCACTTTGTTATTCATCGAGGGCTTTTCATACATATTTGATAAGGCTATCATGAGATCTGCAGTCATCCTTTCCTTGACGACAATGTGTGCAACGAACATCGATAGGGTCAATCGAATAACCCCAAGAATTTGTCGATCCAACAAATTTCATTTAGCCTCATCCATCATTTCAGATCTTTTCTCAAATAACGGAAGAGGAAGTTTCCTCCCATAAAGATAATCATTTATCTACATTCTCCAATAAACAAAATTTGTGCCATCAAAATTTTCGATCCCTGAAACCTTCAGCGTGGCTCGAGACTTAGAGACAAAATGTGAAATGAATATATCTGTGAAAGGGTTGGTGCAGCTCCAGTGACAGACAAGATTAAAGAGAGTTATTTTAGATTAGTGCGTCGAGATCTAGATATATACCAGTTGATGTGGTATATATATATATCAAACAGGAGAATGATCGACGAAGTAAAAAATAGAATGAGAAAAATCACACTAAAAAAGAACAACACAGCGGAACACACAGATTTACGTGGTTCAACAAATTGCTTACGTCCACGGAGTTGCAGAGGATTTTACTACTTGAGGAATGTATACCAGTCGATCACCTCGACTTACAAGAGGAATCTCTCACTCTTTGTTGCTCTCTCTCTCTCTTCTTCTCTCCCTGTTCTTCTCTCTCTATACTGAGATAGGCCGAAGAAGACAAACTTACAAGAGAAATAAATCCAATTTTTTTTCTGTCACAAGCCACCAAGAAGAAGCCTAGGGAGAACAATCTTCCTCCTTGCACTTCTCTTCCTTTGGCTCGAGGAAAACTTTCTCTATCCTGAGGAAACTAAAGAAGAGCTCAAAGTGTGATTTCTCTGAAAAATTGAAGGAGAGTCGTCTGAAGCCTTTTATTACGAACAGGAGGGAGCGAAGAGATGCTTCGCTTCACAAAAAATAGATGGCGGGAGCGGTTGGCTACAACAGTTCACAAACGGGAGTGGAATCGCGATAGCATGGATCGCGGCGCTTCGTGTCGGGAGCGGAGCGGGGTTGGGGTTGCGACGCGAGCGGGAGCGGGAAATCGGGAGGCAGATCGGACTTCAGCTATAACACCATGAGGTCATTTGGCCAAAGTGAACAATACTTTAATGAGTGAGAGTTCGGGTTGTCACATTGCCTCTACTGATTATCATAAATTTCAATCATTTAAATCATGTTTTAATATAAATATATCATTGATTATATTGATTGTAAAACACATGTTTAACACTTCCTAGTGATGTACATAATGTTTATGTGTATACACTAGAGCTACCAGTATGAATCTCAAAGAGAACGAATGGCTAAAAACAAAAAGCTTCGCCAAAGGTAAAAAGTTGACCTACAAGTCACCGTCAAGCAGGTGAAGCCGTGATACTAAACCCTGGACAGCTCAAATCTCTGGAGATGGTCCCTTGCCCGATGACGATAAGATCTGTCAAGTGTGGGGCATAATTCAACCTAGTAGCAATTCTCATGGGATATCTCACATAGATAATAACAAGATCTGTTTAAGGCCTTGCAAAAAGTGGTATCCGACTGAGGCGACGAATCGATCGGATAGACAAGAAGTAGCTTTCGTAAGGCTTGAGCCGCAGCGATAAGTGAGCCAAGGTTCGCCCGACAAAAAATAAATTAACTCATCAGTTGACCAACTGACCGACATAAGTATAGACATAAATCCCTTGATCACGGTTGGACGACAGACCTTCTCTTGCCGTGGAGAACGAGATCGTCTTTTGACCGAACGCCTCAGTTGACTAAACACAAACCACAGTAGCTACCCAGTCGGTCGCCTAACTTGGCCGCATTCTAGCAAATCAACCAATAAATCATTGTCATATCAAAATTCAAATTATAATACAGATATTAAATGAAATTCATATAATTTATTAGAGCACTAATCATATTAGAAACAGTTTCCATAATTGTTCCATCCTTTCTATAATTGCACCAAATATATTCCTATAAATAAGAGACAAAAGGAAGACCAAAAGGAGGCAGACCATTGAATATCCCGGTTCCCTCTACTCTAACTCTTGATTCACTTTGTTCTTACATTCACTCGACTCTTAACTTTTGATATGTGTTCACAAAAGACAATACAGAATTCAACAGTATGTTTATTTATAATGGATATATTCATTAGCAAAAAAAATTTTTGTGATGCCTAACCAGACCAACTGATCCACAAAGAAATTATTATATTTATCATAAGCTCGCGCTCACCTTTTAAATTTCATGTTGTTGTAGTATAACCTACTATAAATACATAACTATAGAAGAAAAAAAAAAGATAAATGATTGTCTGCCTTGTTCTCTCTTCTAATATTCCAATCTATTCTTTTTCTCTGTCAATTAGATGTAACCCTTCGATGGCCCAAACGAAAACAATTGCGTCAAGCTTGATGTTGCCCCTCACCACCCAATCAATAATTGTAATTCCAATCAGTTCATTATTATCAATTTGTTGAGGATTTGGCGCACTCCTTATACCAATCCACAATTAAAAAGGGCCCAACTGGTCACACTAGTCCTCAAAAGAGTATGCATGAAACTTAAGCAGAGCTTGCGACTAACCAAGTTATGCATAAGACAACCCACTTATTATATATATATAGTCACTCTACTCATAACTCGGCAGTCAGCCAAGCACTCAATAGCAACCCACACACCAAAACCTCCATCAGCTCTAAACTACAGGTACACATTACTCGATCACACATGCAAGCCTCACAATTACTATAGTGTACACCCATTTCAAATCCCTTGTCAATAGCTCCACAGCGACCAATCTCCATCACTCCCACTCCCCCCTTCCTCCTCCGACGCCATAGCCGGCGGATCAATGAGCAATCCCTCCGCCATATCCGAATACTCCTGCATTCCAAACTCCATATAAAACGGGTCATCCAATGGCACCGACTTTTCCTTCGGTTCGACCGGTCGGAACGCCTCCGCGGCCTGTGCGGCCGCGCGCTGGATGTCGCTCGGGCTGGATGATTCCGGAGTCGGAAGTCGCCACGCAGAGTCGGCAAAGTTAAGGCAAGCTTGGCGGCCGCGGAGTGCGAGGGCGGCGACATCGTGGGCACGGGCCGCCATCTCGGGGGTCGGAAATGTGCCGAGCCATATGCGGGATTTCTTGTGGGGTTCGCGCACCTCGCAGACCCAACGGTCGGTGTTGCGGCAGCGGACGCCTTTGTAGAAGGGATGACGTGTTTCGCGGAATTTGGTGCGGCCGGCGGAGCGTTTGGGAGGGGCGGAGGAGATGGTCATGTAGGAGTGGTGGTCGGGGGCGGGGTCGGAGGAGTCCATGTTGTTCAAACTTGAAAGGTTGGGAGAGTGAGGGGAAAGTGCGGAGAGTTTAAATAGGTTGCGGGTGGGAGAGCTTTTGCAAACGCGGCACACGGAATGGAGTGCTAGCTGGGCGGGGATGGAACAAGTGGATGGGCTGTGATTGTGTTCCAGCTGTAGTGGATCGGATCTAGTCCTATGACATTAGCTTTTTTTGTTTTTTTTTTTAAGTTTTTTTAAACTAAAATACAGAAATGTTTTAGTCATGTAAGATATTCAAGCAAGGTATTTATTAGGGATTTCTGAATTGTGAGGGCGTATTATAAAGATTTAAAAAATTAGTTTTTGATCTTGGTTTATTTAATTTAAACTCAAATATCTTAATTACCTTTTGCAAACGCGGCACACGGAATGGAGTGCTAGCTGGGCGGGGATGGAACAAGTGGATGGGCTGTGATTGTGTTCCAGCTGTAGTGGATCGGATCTAGTCCTATGACATTAGCTTTTTTTGTTTTTTTTTTTTAAGTTTTTTTAAACTAAAATACAGAAATGTTTTAGTCATGTAAGATATTCAAGCAAGGAATTTATTAGGGATTTCTGAATTGTGAGGACGTATTATAAAGATTTAAAAAATTAGTTTTTGATCGTGGTTTATTTAATTTAAACTCAAAATTCTTAATTAGCTTTTATTAAAAAAATGATTTTAGTGAGTCATTTTATCGGGCTTGTCATCATTATCTTGTGATTCCATGTGCTTGATTGAGTAATATCTCATTCATTTATGTTTCTTTAATTAGAAAATCTAACAAATATGAATAGTTTATATATATTTGATTGCTAAATAGATAAGTTAAAAATATCTTGTTTTGTGATTCGTATATATTTATGAGCAATACTAATAGGGTCATGTCTGCCGATGTAAATGCTTTGAGGGCTATATTAGGGTTATATCACCCCTAAAAGAGTGTTCTCTTGTTAGGGTTTCGTCTCCCATGTTGTAGTCCTCTGATAGCTTCAAGCTCCGTATCTTAGATTTAATGTGAATTTAAAGGTAAATCCTACATTACAAGAAAATTATTTCTGATACAAATTTATTGATCTTTAATAATAAATTTGATAATAATCTTATGTTTTGATATAAGTGAATCGCAGATGTTACAACTATACTAACAGTTGCAAGTTCATTTGATGAAGAAATCCAACATTCACCGTGAATTGCTTTTGCTTCCTCTTACATCATTTTTTGTATTCAAGTCTGTATTCATAATAAATATCTTTGCAAGCTCATGTGCAAGCTTATTATGAACCTTGTTTAAGTTGATAAAAAGCTTAATTAAGACTCGCGCTCAATTAGACTCATTCATGATTTTATGAATTTCATCTTTTTATTTATAATTTTGACTTACATGGTTAGAATATTTTAAAATAATATTATTTATAAGTTAAATTACTTTGATTGTAAACCATGTAGCCTTGCCCGAACTAAATCATGTTTTAAAAATATTTAATTAATTTTTAAAAGATGTAAACCTTGTTAAATTAAATTATTTTTTATTTGAGTTCAATAAAACTGGCTCATTGAAGCATTATAACAACTAACAAGGTCTCAATCGGACTTTCATCACCATCTCGTGCCAAGCTCATCATCATGATCCAATGTCGAGCTCATTATTGCCATCATATGTATATGATCACATGCTCTCTTAATATGATCTCTTGTGTCAAACTAGTACTTGTGAAGATCATACTTAATGTGCTCTTTCCCCCCTCTAATGTTTTCCATTGTCATTCTCATATACATGTGCATTTCACCCAACACCATTTCAAAAGTAAAATAAATTATATTCATTTTAAAGCTATGTATTTTTAAATACACGCTACCCAAAAAAGTCCACGTGACAAAAACATAAATCGGTACTTTCAAAAGTCTTGCGTGATAAAAAATAATAAAATTATTGATATGTGCTAGAAGATTTGCAGTCGCAGAGATAGATTATCGTTTTAGTGTTGTATGAACACCACAAGAAAAAACACTAAAAACGACGGAAAAACTAACGATATAATTACACGTCAGAAAATTTATTCTAATTACTGGCAGTTTTGCGACTGTTTTTTATCTTGATTATTTATGACGGCATGAGTACAACATATACCGTCACTTATCAAAAGTATTTTGTTTATGACTTTTTAATTATTATAACCGATAAAATAACACGTCAGTCATAAGGAAATATTAACAGACGACTATAGTTCGTCGATTTTCTTCAAACCCGCTATCTATTAGGGTTTTAAACGACGCATTTTATTATTAAGCAACAGGAACGGTCGTCGATAATAGTATTAATAATCAATGTTATCACTGACGAAAGAATTATCGGTTATATGAACCGACAATTACCAATGACTAAATTTTTTTAAAAAAATGCTACGTCATTAAATTGTCGGATAACCATTAGTAAATTTATACTCTCGGAAGACATGCATTTTACCTACGAGCTTCAAATCATCGGTAAGATTAAAAGCAACGACTTGTCTCATCATAACCAATGGATTGTAGATGTCGGAAAAAGCTTAAATTCCTGTAATGAAAGAATCAGCACACACTCAGATAAAAGAAAACAATCAATAGAGACACTAGAAGTTTTTACATGAAAACCCCGTAAAAGGTAAAAACCACGAGGTCTGACCTGATTGTAAAAATTCACTATAAATTGATGATTGCAGAGACTCATTGTCCCACAATCAGGAAAGGGTTATGAAGTCTCTTGAATTGCAACATCGACATGTGAATGAACTTGTTGCACAGAACGAACTGCGACTGATAATAATCGGCAACGACCGACAGGTGGTGGTAGGCAGCGGTCGACGACGGTAGAAGTGATGATGGACTTTAGTTTCTTTTCAAAGCTCCAAGCTCTTTCTCAATTCTCAAGCTCTCTCCCCCCCCCCCATCAAAGAGGGGTGAGACTCTATTTATAAATTTTAAGTTGCAATTAATGTAGGAATATGAACAACTTTGATCGAATCGTTCGGAGAGCTTCTCTCAATCAATGACGTTTGATTGATATTTGAGTGTCTTAATGATGTCGGAATTGAGTGATGTTAGACTCGTTAGATTTATCTCGCCAACACACTCGATTCAACTATAAACTTGTCACACTCGACATTTGTTTGACCTTCCAAATATGATCGGCAAGCTTCCAATACTGATATAATGACTTGATTTGACTAATATTGAAACAATTTTGGTATCATTGGGTCTGACTCGTTGATCCGATTAGTTTGACAATAGGTTTACTAAAATCGAATCTCTGAATGACTTTTTATCAAAATTAGAAGTTTCTTGCTCAAAAGTTTACCTCGAGATCCATATTAGATGATAGAATTTTATTGGTGACATATCAATTATATTTTCATTTAATTTACATAGCACTAGAACGCAAAAAAAAATGAAATTTCATATTTATTTAATATTTATTATCATTATTATTTGTTTTCAATTTAGCTGTTTTCCGGAATGCTGAGCTTGCGTTGCGTTTGGACCAAGTCGTTGAAGTGGACGTAGAGTAGCAGTCGCTACTTCAGTGGTCGTTGCACGTTCGTTTTTAGGGAACCAGTTCGTAGTTAGCGACAGAGACTGACGGCGCTGATTCTGTTGGCTAATACATCTGCCGCGTGGAATAAACCTTTTTTTATTTTTTTTAAATATTGTTGATAAAAATGAAAAATAAAATGCTCACAGCTGGCAATCACAATTTTAATTAATTAAATAGAGGGTGAAAATAACTTTTATTTTATTTTTAAGATCTTTAGTTTCAATCACACTTTACTTTGTTGGGATTAATTGATGATTAGTTGTAAGCCAGTAATAAGTATAATATAGTTAATTGCTAATGAAGATTTTGCTTTTGAGCTTTTTCATAGTGTTTGCGTCATCATTATGTAAATTCAACATAAAATAGAGATAATTAATTAATAATAGTGGATTGTTTGATTTTTTTTGGAATTCTAATTCCCTAGAAGAATACAAACAAAAATGGGGCATTTACATTCATACAGTATAATTTTGATATTTATGTATCTAACGCCTAAATTTTATTTTATTTTTACATTTATACTGCTCAAATCTTTCATATCACATAAAATATCATTGTTTTAACTTTAATTGATATTTATGTATCTAACGCCTAAATTTTATTTTTTTTACATTTTACTGCTCAAATCAAATCTTTCATATCACATAAAATATCATTGTTTTAACTTTAAAAAAAGTGAAATACAAGATTTCATTCACAAATAATTTCAACATAATTCAATTTTTAATAAAACTAATAAATGAAATGTCTAGAGCAATATACTACTCTTCAAGATAAGAACTCTTATTAGTTAAGAATTAGGGTGAAGTTAGATAACTTAAGTCATGTTCTAAAAACATTATCTAACTGGGTCTATAGGATATTTGGGTCAAACTATGTAAGTTAATTCTTAGATAGGGTCCTATTTAGTCAATTATTCAAGTTGTGGTTTCTAACAAAGGGACTTGGGTATACTGAATATGACTAAGGGTGATTTAAGTGTTCCAATAATATTGCTAGGCTAGATTTAATGTTAGGGTTCGATCTAATGGGCCCTTAGTCAACTAAGATTAGAGATATAGCAAAAAATATTTTGGAATTAATAAGATAACCTCACTAGGGTGTCAACCTAATAGGGCTTGAAATGTCACAAATTTTGATGTAATATTTAGATCAAATACTTCTAAAATTATATTGAGGATCAACTGAATTCTAATTTCAAGAAATTTATAGCTGAATTGATTGTTTCCATAACTAAATTTAATAATGATAAAATGATCTAATCAAAATCAAAATGAGCTCACATCTAGAACTAAAGTATAATTAAAAAAATTTAGCATTACTTAAAGGATCAAAATGATCTTCAAATTTTGAAAGGGTATGATCTGAATAACTCTATCAATAAAAAGAATCCAATAAGTCAAATAACACTTAATTTTGAGATTATTAAGGTA